AGATAGATAGATAGATAGATAGATAGATAGATAGATAGATAGATAGAAGCAGCTTACAGTCTGGTGTAAGTCTTATTTAAGCTTTACTATTTATTAAGTATATTTTGACTGATGCGATTTGCACACTGGAGCAACTCATAGTCTGTAAAACACAGTATATACACACACACTCACATGTACAGTGGGGGAAATAAGTATTTGACCCCTTGCTGATTTTGCAGGTTTGCCCACTTACAAAGAATGCAACGATCTGTAACTCTAATCATATGTACATTCTGACAGTGAAATTCCAGAAAATCACATCATATGAATTTATAAAAATTGATAACCATCTGATGAGGAAAAATAAGCATTCTTTGTAAGTGGGCAAACCTGCAAAATCAGCAAGGGCTCAAATACTTATTTCCCCCACTGTATACATGGCTGACATGCAGGCTGCATGCCCATGTTTCATGAATGAGGTCCTCACCTAGTCCACCCAGCCCCGTTGGTCCGATCAGCTGCATGAGCTGGTTGTGGCTCATGGTTCCCAGCAGGTTTTGGAGGCCCCCCTCTCCCCCCAGAGCAGACAGCTCGTGGCCGCTGCCACTGCCGCTGCCAGGCGCCCCCGGAATGGGGGGGTTGTTCAGGAACTCGTTGACTTTCCGACAGTGTTCCTCATCCTTGTCGGTTTTCGGCTCCTGGTGGGGAATCGCACACAAAAGATTTCCCTCGAGTTAATGCGACTCTCTTCACAGTCAAAAACAGGCAATATTTATTAACTTATTTATAAGCATTAACTTTAGATTAGAGATTAGAAAAGAAAAATCTTAATTAAATCAATAAAATCGAATACAGCGGTGCCGAGAACCCATTTCAGAAAACCTTGTGTTATTTATTTAAATAACATTAGAAAAAAAAGAAATGAAGCTACCACCAAATGTTGTGTGCAGATAAAGGAGCACAGAAAAATCATCTCAAAAAGAGGAATTACAGCCTATTTTCCTCTTTCTCCTTTTTACCTGCATCCAGAAGAACAGCCTCTTAGATCCAGCCTTGAACTTTAACACGTACACACGTCCCGTGGTGCACTGGCTCACTCTCTTGAATTCACAGTCATCAGGGAAGATTATCAGGTCCTAATAAAGAGAAAGACATTCCATTACAACACGCCCTGTAAAGGGAAAACTGCAGATGTTCAGGCTCAGTAAATTATTGGTTAAAAAAAGGAAATTCTAAGTATAGTAAAGACAAAACTGACCAGGTAAATATGGATTTATCGTGCCAACATTAATCAGATTTTGTTCAATTTAAAGACTTCACATTATAAGATCATATAAAAATGGAAAATAAGTAAGGGAGGTGGTTCCTGTGGTTCTGCTCACATCGTCTACGTTCCCGGAGGTCCGGTCCTTCCAGCAGAAATGGATCAGGGAGTCGTCCGACTGCTGGATGTACACGGTGCCCTTGCGTTTGTCAGGTGTGACGGTGTTCCCCTTCAGGGTCATTTTTCCAGCACGAAACTCCACCAGATACTTGCTGGAGCTTCCTCTAGAGCCGCTGACCAGGCTCGGAAATAGTGCTCCGGACGACATCTCCAAAACCTGATTTAAATCAAAATAAAATAAAATAAACGAAGGTCAGCGTTAGAGGATTTTTTTTCTACATACGCAATGTATAACTTTTCTTTTAAATAATGTACATATCAAACATTTTGGTAATACGAGCAGTTTGTTTAATAAAATCCCACGAAGAAGTCGCTCATCAAGTTTGCAAAGTTTACTTATTAACAGATTTTTTTTTTACTCCACTTTAATGTTTATGTCAGTTACGTAAATTGCACTGGTATAATGTCCATCTGTTGTTAATTTAAGCATTTTCAAACCAATAAGTTATCCCTCCAGCGGCTTCATGACGTGAAGTGAGTTGGCAATGCTAACGTTAGCCCATGACAATGCTAAACCGTTGAGCGACCAAGGCCGAAAATCTTCCCCACTTAGTCGAGTCTATCCTTCAGTAGTTTAACTTATCAAACTTGAACGGGTCCTTTTTTCAAACGAAACCTGAAATGAATAAGTCTTAAATAATAATGTTTAATACCTTAATTTGGATGTTTTAAAAAATAAACCCAGAAGTTTTTCTCCTCCCGACGTCGCCTGGTAGCTACGTAGCGTGTTGACTTCCTGTTTTGTCGTGAACGCGCCTGCTGTCACCGGAAGCGAACAGAACGTCGGATGGAGGCATCCGCGGGACCGCTCCACACGGATTGACAGCTTGCTCCTTACCACTGTAGCTGTTAGCACCGGGGCCGTGGAACCGGCTGTTTGAATGGTTCAGTAGCGAATAGCAAACGCGCAATTGGGATGCAAGAATTATAACGTTCCAGTCAAAAGTAAATTTGAAATAAAAAACAGAAGACCCACTGCCTGGGTTGGTGAAAAGGTAAGCCGAACTCGGGAGTTTGCTAGTGGGCTAACATTTGTCAGTTTTGCTGCCCTTGGATTAGTTCGCGAGCTATGTGCTAAATGAAGGCTAGGCTACGGGCTAGCTAGCACCCCTTTAACCAACATGGATGCTGGTTGCTTTCCTTTGATGCGGTGCCTGGAGATTATCCGCTTTAACTACGGTTCGACTCCCTAGCAGACCGGTCATTTCTAGTTTGGTTGCCATTTTAAAGAGCCGCCAAGAAATGAGAAGAAAGCAAGCCGACCTGGGATACTGACCCCGGGGTGCCATGTCGATTATGTTTTTTTGTTTGTTTCGTTTTTGGGCAAACGTGACTAATTCAGTTATTGTTGAGTGAAGTCGTTACAGGACAGATTAATCCGGGTTCACATTCTGTGGCCACTGTGCTTTTGATCTCTTCTGAAGATGTTGAGTGACAGGTGTAAGATGGAGAGTCGATCCGCTAAATTGACAAATCGACCGCTTGAATCGCTCGTTTTTTGGAAATATTCGTATGAGTGTTGTAGGTTAAAAAAACAAACTTGCTCGGAGTTGGACAGCTTCTGGTCAGTGTGGGATGTGACCGTGAAGTGGCGTGACATACCGGCTGACTGTGTGATCACATGACCGGGAACACACGGGAGGTTCTAACCGCTTAATTACGAAACGATCATTAATCTTTTATCGTTATTCGGCCTTTTAAGGCGTCCTGTTTCACCATCCTCTGACTGCTGCAGCCTGTTTGTACTCATACTGTAGCCAAAGCAGCTGTTCCCCAATTGTCATCTGTCTTTGTTTTGTTTTTTTTAGCCTGTTCTATTTGCTTTCACTCCTATTTACTTTCCCAGCTGTCACCGGCTCAGGACCATTATGATCTGGTCCACTAAAACTACATCCACGCCCTTTGTATCGGATGTAAATGTAGGGTTTCTGAGCAGCATGATTCCAGTTATCGCGCAGCCATCTGAGTTGGGTTACAGCGTTGGCATAAAGACTTTATGAACCACAGGAAAACGGCGTGTTTTCCATCCCCGCCAGAGTGGAAACGCATGGTCTGATTTCCTCTGTTGGGTCGGTTTCCAAAATAACAGCAATTTTACAACCTTATCATTACTATTTCTATTAAATAATTGCAGAATTCAGTAAGACATGACATGTTTTCTTTATACCATGAAGCCCTATCCACATTCTATGTCCTGTTGGATCAAAGATTCATAGTCAGGTGTCAGTAAAAACTCCAAGATCAGCATTATCGTTCCTCCATTAGTTTAACTGACTATAGGGACAGGTTTTCAGCTTTTGTTGCTTTCTTTCCTTGCATCTTTAGCGTCCTACACTGCTTCAATGCTAAACAATAAGAGGTAAAGTTGACTTATTTGGGCCCCATTCACAGTCACTTCACACAAAGGGAATCAATATGAGAATTAGGACATAATAGCCACAGAAAAGACTAAATGAATAGGTAGTTATGAATACAACACTGTGAAATCCTCAACAGAAAGCCTGTTAAGGAAGTTTTTAACTTAATTTTAAAAGGGTCCACAGAGTAAACTAAATGTAGTTCTGCTGGTTGGCTGTTCCATAGACTGAAAGGCCTTTTTCCCCAAAAAATGAGAAGTTAGATCGTCAGGACTTACTTTGCTTTCATATATCATGTGCATTATTGTGTGAAAATGTGTGTCTTGATGGCTGGTGATGGTGCAAACACATGCCACGGTGTTCATACGTCCACTTAGATGACCATGAGGTCAGTGGACGACGAGACAACGCCTAGTGAATCAGTGAATTAGTTTTGTTCTGAATCCAGAATCGTTTTGAGTCATGATCCATTTCCCCGTCGAACCCCGGTCTGAGGTCAGATTCACAGGTTTGCTCTGCAGTGGGGCCAGTAACAGAACCAAATCCAGCATTTGTTATCTCAGTCTAAACTACACTAAGTCAACTTTGAACTAGATTTCCTTAAAATCGGAACTGTGTCACTACTTCTTCGCTGGACAACTGATGTCTTTCCTCCTGGACACTTGACACTAGCTAATTTTGGGAGCTAGCCTTTACAGAGGTGCTCACGCTCCAGTTCAGATCAGTTCATCCTCTGATAAAACGTGAACTTCATTTGAATTGATTTAAGATTGAAGTTGTATTATTGGCCTTTTTTAATTTATGAGAGGCACCGGCTTTTCTTTTATTGTGTATATAGAAAAAAACATGTAATTAGGATATGTGGTGAGAGAATTGAAAGTGAATCATGTTTGACTCTGTATGAAAAATAACCACTAAATCCAGACACAAACGCAAAGAATAATCTATAAGAAACTCTAATGGAAGTTCTTATTTTCAGCAATCCTGTGATCACAAGGTGGTCAGATATTCAAATTTGATTTCACTTCCTCTGTGGTGTCTTCTCTCTGTCGGTTCCTTTTTATCCCGGGACTCCGCCTTCTTTCTTGGTCTTTTCGTGCATGTGCTTTTTCCCTTTTTTTGCCTTTTTCGTTCGATGCTGAGCGGTTTTGCTTCCAGTAAGCCTGTCTGTGTCCGTTAGGAAGCTGACGCATGAATGATGAGACAATGCTGAGTCCAGATGACTCGACGGGTCCAAACCAAGATTTACGCCCTGCTAAGAAGGCAGTTGTCGAAATTAAAGGAAGGCTGACCTTTTGCCTTCTCCTCCTAGCTCCTCTTTTCGATTTAGCCTTTTCTGTCCTGCAGTCAAATGGAATATTTGTTTTCCTGCTTTTCCAGTAAGATTTAGTGACTGAAGATGTAATAGAAAAGGCCTAAAAACACTTCCATCCAATTAAAAAACACACTCATTCTGCATCTCTTTGGTTTACTTTAATCTATTTCACATAGACAACATTGAAGAAATATCTTTATATTTAATTAACTCAAACAAAATATCCTGATATTTCAGAGCATTTAGACAATAATGAGAAATTTTGCGATGTGACAAAAAACATAAAGAAAATCATAGTTTTTCATTTGATAAAATTACCTTCAAATGTTGCTTTGCAGTATTATATAATAAAGGTTTTACAACAATGACTTTATTTAGTAAAGTATTCAGTCTCAAAGTATAAAAATAAAAAGTAAAAATAAGAGTAAGAAAATCCAACACAAAAACTGCAGTTCCCCCAAAAAATAAAACAATAGCTAAAGAGCTTTTGAGCATAAATGTGACAAAAAAATAGTAAAAAATATGGTGCCTATTAAATTTGGTACAGTTTCCAAAACTTGTCACAAGTGCCGAATACAAATTAAATACTGCCTGAAATCCTGAGCAATCCTTATTTTTCATTTCATGAGCTTCAGGTGTTTTAATTTCTTATCTCAGAAACTTGAAAAGTGCACATTGAATCATTGCTTTGAGAGGCATTCTAAGGATTAGAGCAGTCACAATGAGCACATTTTAATTTCTGAGGAGGTTTTTCTTTAAGTTTTCTGTGAATCGTCGCTGTTCCATGAAGCCCATCTCTCTTGCAGGAGTCCTCTGGAGGCAAAAAACAGATATCCTTCCCATTTTTATGAGAAAAAATATCAACCAGGTTCCAATGGCAGTTTTTTTTACGTGTGTAATGGCTGATTTATTTCAAAGGGTTTGTCTTGGGTAGTTTTTCTAGCTGCAGTCACATGATCACATAGTGACGAGGATGTCCATCCGGGGACAAGTGAGGTGGTGGACAGCTGAGTGGACATGACATCCAGCGGTGCAGTTGTCCACAGGAAGGGGCAGAGCAGAGTCCAACTCATTACTACTGAGAAAAAAAGGGCTTTCAGTTTCATTCAGCACGCCAGTCGTTTTCTGTGAATGACCAAATTGGGCCTAAAGGGATTAAACAATCTTTAATTGTCTTGGCTTTCAGCCTTTGCTCGGTGGAACGCGACGCTAAGAGGCCTGCCCAGTGCCGTTATGTTTATTAATCCCTAGGGGTTTCTGTCGACTTGCCCTCATTGGTAAATCCCGGCCGGGAGGAGATGAATCTGTGTTACAACTGGTTAATCCGAGGCGCAGTGTGGGCGGGATTTAGAGAGGTGTTAACTCGCCGTGTTGCTCGCCGTGTCTCTCGGGAAGGGGGGGTGTTGTGGTGAGAGTTCAGGTCCTTTGGGGCCACAAAGGCTTTCTGGACACCTCAGTTAAAAGGCTTTTTTACCA